TGTAATTGCAACTGAATCCCTTTCTTGATGGAAGAAAAGACAACCACAGCCCACACTTGCTTTCCAACTGCGAATAATATTGACATGCAACCTGTGGTTTGTGGAGTTTTTCTTCTTGCCCATTTGGAAGTTGTTTAAATGCAGATACGCTGCCTGCTGATTAAACTGCAGTTTTGACCCACGGCTATGCGCATCAAAGCCTTCAATCTACATCACTGTAGCAGACAGCTCAAATATTGTCTGTTCAGTCTTAATCGTCCCGGAGAGACGGAAAGACCACAGCAAATCTGTGGATTCCAAATGCTGGTATTATATTCTGCCCGGAATGCTTTTAACATACAAAATGTCTATTTCAGCATAAATAAAGGACTTTTTTGCAGTAATATAAGATGGCATTTCTGTCATTATACAAATGTCAAACATTTTTTATTGAAGAAAAGCTGTTTTATTAGTTTATCCCATATTGACAAAGCACAGCTTACTACACTTGTTAAAGAAAGGAAAAAGTGATGTTATTTATTCCCTTTAACATGATTTGTAGTGTAATTAACCTCCTTATTCAAAAAGGCAGAAAAGTTGAACAAAGAACCATATTTCTTTCAAACTTATAAATACTTTCCATTTCCTCTGCAAGATGTGTCCTTGTCCACAGATTTTTATTGCATTTAGTTCTGCAATGTGGTAGTTTGGCCTACATTTAAATCTCATCCTCTCAAATCCCCTGAAAACATTTCAGACCCCTAAACCGCCTAGTTTAGAATTAGTTTACGTTGTCTTTATGATCATATTGTTGCCCCCCTATTTTCCAATGCAGCTGGGTTAAAGCTTGATCAACTGAAATCTCACTTTTGTAGCTTTACTGCTTTGGAAAATCTTTATAAATGTAAAACCCACAATCCTTTGCAGCTGGGGAAATGGGGAAGGCTGCCAGCATGCTAAAAGTACATGCAAATATGAGCCTCTCCCTCAAAGATGTCTCGATCTGCAGCTCGTAAATGGACGGCAGCCTGAAGGAGTGGAGCAGTGGCTGCTAGTTTGGGAGGCTGCATAATTTGCAGCCAGCTGGTTCAGTCCTCTTGTGAAAGTTTCCTCTGCGGGAAAACTGATTTTACAATGAAAAGGGAAAGGGATTTACGAGGCCTGACCTGTTCTCGCAACCTCCCCACATCTTCCCCAAATCATAGCATTGCGTTTTGCAGTGGAACGTCAAATCAAATCAGAGCCACATGTTTGCAGACACAGTGGTTTGTAAAAAAGATGCAGATAAAAATTATTAAACTAAGTTGTATGAAGTGGACTTCATATCTTATATATCACCACTACTTATTTGAGGAAAGGTTTTTCACATATTTTGTTTAAATCGGAGCAAGGTAAGAGTCCTTTATCACTGGATGCATGTGATGTGGGTGTGTGACAAGATTCCTCTGCTGCCAGGCGTCCCCAGTGGTCCCTCTTTATCAGCTTTACTTAATGAAGATGCCCATCATGTTCCCAGCGGTTCCTATTATTTGAGGCCAAACACTACAAGTCAAGGAGATCTTCAAAGGGAGAGTGGAAAAGCCCACTAAAAGAGTGCAATATAATAACATTACAGAGCCATACATTAATTAGATGGATGAAAGCCTCACTTTTGTGCTATGTGTGGTAGCAGAAACATGTCCCGGTAAATTGGCTTGGTTTTTAATGAGCAGCAATATCCCTGTAAACGCCATCTTTAATTGATTAGGGATGCCATTAGGTGCTCAGATATAGCAGTAAAACATCTATCGCAGATGTTGCACAAAACAGAGCCTTTGTTGTTCTCCTAGCTTGGTTCAAGGCCAGAGTGGACTCGCAGTGGCTGTTTTTTCTATCAGATCCAGTATGGGGTAATAATGTGGGGTCTGAAACCTAATTCTCTGACAACAGCTGGGGCTGCCTGTCTTTGGTCAATTAAGTAACATGATACTCCCTCATTCCTCCCTGTATTCATTATTTGATTTGATTGTCCCATTATTTTCTTTGAGCTATTTAGACGTTTTGATGTATTAGATTGAAAATAGAAGTAAATAGTCTCTCCACAGTTAAAGTTATGGCAAAGCGTATTCCCAGAAAACGGATTCTCATTCAGTTGATGTTGTTTTAACCTCTGAAAGCTGCACTTTCTTATTCACATGCTCAAGTTTTGTGGTGTCTGCGAAAAACGTTTTGTACCATGCCATTTGTCTTTCCAATTCATCCATCTAATCTAATTATATAAACTTATATCCTGTCTCTGTCCTTGTAACTGCTTTATTAGATTTAAAAGCATAAAAAAAAACATTTGCTGCGAATATCTATGAATGAAGCTGTCAGTAAACGTTTGTGACCTGATATAGAATCGACATATTGTACTGTGTGTATATATAAAATGGAGTTTTTTTATTCTATTTGTGTTAAGGCAAGTAGGATCCTCATGATTTAGAAAGGATTACTACAACAACAGAAAATGGCTTGAAATTATTGCAACATGTGTTTAGTGGCTTAATTTGATGACTTGTTTTCACACAGGAAACCAAGTATTTACTTAGTCCTCAAAATTACAGATTAATATGTGGAAAAAAACAGTAAGTAAAGACATTTGTGGATTTGGAGTTTCTAAATGTGATATAAGAAAATAGCTAACATATGTGAATCAGTCCTGAAGGCATCACTGCAGCGAAGCATCAACTCTGCATGCCAACACATTCCACAATCAATTGGTGGAACATCAACGTAGCTTGAAGTGCATGTACTGAATTACCTCAAAATACGCAGTACAGCTGTTTCTATATTCCAAGCACCTTTGTAGTTTTCCCTACTTGCATAATGTTTCAACACCTCACCTTTGAGTGCATTATTTACCTGTAAGAGCTATGACCTCATTTATTTGAATCTCACTCCATCTTCGAGGCCGTAGGGGCCCTACGTTACAACTGCCACTCTGTCTTACCGAATCTTGTCCTTTGTCAAAAATTAACTGAAGTATTCTCCTTCTGCAGGTTTTTTTTTATGCTGGCATGTGTCCATCCTCCTGTACATGAATACATGAGCTTCCTTTGTTTCTACAGTCCTGTATCAGGTTTCTGGGCATGGCTGTTCCGTGCGTTTAATGGAAATGCTATGCAGGAAAAGGCCATGTGGCAGTCTTGAATATATGTGCATCCGTAATGGGATACTCGTGAGTTCCCCTTTGAGTAACTGTTTGCCTTATTAGGTTGTCGTCTTGTGACTGCAAACAAACTGGGGAGTACTTTGAGATAGAGGAGATTCCTCAGGCTGGTATCCTGGCTGCACGCTGTAAATATTGCTGTACCTCGGACTCCTGGATGGGAGTATCGTGCCAAACCTTAGAGAGTTACAGGATATCTTGGTGAGAGTGTTTCCCTAAGACGAAATACAGAAACTCAATTTATTATCTTCCGGCAGCTGCACATGACGTACTCAGTGACTTGCCAAAGCCTTTTATGTGAGATATCACAATTTATTATATTAGGCGGAAGCTTTTGTTTTAGTAAAAAGGCATGCGAGGCTTCGCTGACAGATGTGTAATTATAAGATCTGAGTCACTGTGGTTACTTATATAACTTTATTTTCTTCTCCTTCTTTGCACAGTTTGGGCAAACATCTTTCTGACCGATAGTTAAATTTATTTTCAGGTTTCGATATTAAAGTCACATGCATAATTTATGGATAATTATATAACAACCATACACATGTTACTTCATAGCCTTATATTATAGAGGCGTGGTAGTTGCAGTTTTCCAGTCAATGGATTTTGAACAGAGAACGCGTGCCGAGGGAGAGACTTTTGACTTTATTGCTTGGACTCAGGGGAGCCACTGTGTTGCTGGCTAAGGGCAGTGTGTGTGAGTCGCATGGGCCTGAAACTGATGAGCGTAGGGTTTGGTGTACATAAATTTCACCCAGCACCCCTCCTTCTCTGACACCTCAACCCACCCTACCCTTTCACACACACAGAGAGGCTTAGACATTGAGGCCTGCAGTCCTTGCCAAGCTTCCCAGACAGAGCTTTTTATCCTCGGCCTCTCTTAGCTTTAAGCTGACCTGTGACACCCTGAACTAATCATAATGGTTGCTGGACAACTTTGGGTGATCACGCCCCTGTCTGACCTGACAATATTTTAGGTCACATGGCGGTGTAAGATAATAGCGGACCACCCATGATGTAAGAAATTCACTAACAAGAAATATTTTCTTTTATTTATGTTGTCACATAAATAAATAAATAACCTTAAAACTTATTTTAGAAAGTGTTTTTTAATATAGCATGTTCATATACAGATTGCACAGTAAATAAATTGGTAATTGTGCATCTAAATAGATTTTTGTAAGAAGACATATATATTTGACATATTTTATGTAGTCATAGCTAAGTACCTATTGTTACAGCAGCTAGATAGATTTATAAATTCATAAATATATATATATATATATATATATATATATATA